TCAAAAAGTACACATAACACACAGAGATGCTGTAATAATATTGTGGCACGGCAAAACCGTGGCGATTAGGTTTGGTGGGTATAGATAGATAAAGGGTCCACTTTCGACGACCCCACAGGCCCAGCTAAATCAAGTTAATCAACCCTATTAACATCGTGATTAGCATAACATGATACACTAGTCTTAGCAGTCCCGGTAACTAAAAAAATGATAAAAGATGAATCAAACGGGGTGGTGGGTCCTATTCTCGACTAGCACATCAAAGCAAATCTGAAATAAAAGAATCATCTTCTACATCTGGACTCGAATCCAACCTAATTCTTCTGCTTTAGCTAGAAGATACATTGTTACTAGATTTGGTTCATTGAATATCAAAGCTTCGAGTCACGCGATTACCTTGTTTTCATATGTAATTTTTTTACACATTTTGTTTTATGGATAATACTTGTGTGATAAACTTACTTGTCATCCACTTATGATTAACAAACGTTTACTATTCGAATGTCGTAATCAAAATCGGTCATTCTTTTTATCATCATCTAAAAATCATATCTGCAAATTAAAAGTCGTTTAGTTATCCATACGTGTTAAATCAATCAACGATTTTGATAATAAGTAGCATTCTCATGATGAACTGTCAATTTATTTTATGTATATGAATGACTAAACGATTTTTTTTTAATATAGTTAGATATTATAAAAATAATAAATAATTTCGATTACGATGTTCAAATAATAAAGTTCGTTCATAAGAGCAAGTCCAGCCCTTCTTCAATGGCCCGGCACCCAGTGAAGAAAATGGCCCGGCACTGTGTCCATCAGCTCCAGCCCGGAAAATAGGCTAGCACCCAGCCCGTGCCAGTCAAGAGGCCAGCCTAAAATGGACAGACCCAGAGGCCGGTCCGTGTGCTGGCGCGTGCAACACACGCGGTGGAACCAGCGAGTAGCCGACAGCGTCTGCAGCAGTGGGGCCCGCGGTGCAGGGCAAGTGGACTGAGTCTTTCAAAGGGCTACGTGGCCCTCCTCAGAGCCGTTGGATTTCCAACGGCTAGTTTTTGTAGGCCGTTGGATTTCCAACGGTAAAAAAAATTTAAATTTCACTTTTAAATTGGACCGTACGATCACAGATCAACGGTCCACGTTTTTTTCACCAAAAATTAAAAAAAAAAAAAAAAAAGGTCCAACGGTCAGAAATTTGACCGTTGGCCACGTGGCGGCGTGTTGGCTGTTGGATTTGATTATTTTTCAAATCCAACGGTCCAGATTAATTACAACATTAAAATTTATTAAAAATTAATTAAAAATGTCAAAATTTTTTTAAAAAATACAAAAAAATTTTAAAAAATTAAATTTTTTTTTCTATATATACCTAACCCTCATCTTCCACCTTACACCACATTTCAATATTTTCTACACTTTCTACACTTTCTACATTTGAATATTTTGTACACTTTCTACATTTGAATATTATTGTAAATAGGAAGTGACACGTGGGTTGTCGGGATTGGTTGAAAATCTTAGCGGAAATCTATTCAAAAAATAGTACGTTCGGATAATGACACGTGGCGTGACGAGATTGGTTAAAAATCGTATCCGAAATTAAAACTTTTTTATTTATTTATTATTTTATAAAAAAATTATTTAATATTTTAAATGGACTGGGTGCCAGCGCATTTTGTAGGGGTGGTGATCGTTTGTGCCAGCGCATTTTTAGACTAGGTGCCAGCACATTTTTTTTGGGGTGGAGATGCTTTGGCCTATTACTGTTCATTGGGTCTATTACTGTTCAATTAAGTGGATAAATGAGCTGGGTGCTGGCGCAAAGTGGATAAGGGTGGAGTTGCTCTAAGGAGAAGAAAAATAAAATGAGACACAAGTATTATCATTGTTATATTATCGGCGGGAGACGCGAAAGTGGACGTACACGTGATTATGGAGTATGGAAGTCCTCGTCTGGTTCTGCGATCACGTGCCTTTATAGCCTTTTAGAAACTAGGGTTTGCTCTTTCAACTCTCCAATCATTCTTTCACCCGCAGAGCTGCACTGCAGGACGATGCTCGATCTCCTCGATGACGTAATTGCATGTGGAATATATGCGTGGAGGTCGTGTATTTATTATTCCCAACCTTCATGCGTAGCCATTGCCTAATGAGTAAGGATTCTCGCCGTATTCTCTTTCTGTAGATTCCGGTAATCCTTAAATCGTATATGTTTATCATATATCGTGTGGTTAAGAATTATTATAAATTTTTTAATTTAAAATTAAATATAAATAGTAATTGATGAAAACTCGCCGCACAATGTAAATGAACAGATATAATTGAAGGATATCCGGAATCTTCGTAAAGAGAATCCGGTCAGGTTCCTCTCTCATTGCCTGGAGTAACATGCATGTTTATCATACAAGTTTTGGATAAGATGTATATATTAATAATTAAGATGCTAATTAAACAATAATTGGACTGGTCAAACCTTAATTAAGTTGTAAACCTTCCCATCATTAGAAGCTGATTGGCTCTCGGTAACGTGGCCTGCTAATCCTGTTCAGTGACCTAATTTGTTTTGTGTATGGCTTCTCATGTGCCATCTGACTTTCTGTGCTTTCATGCATGTGCATTGCCCAAAACTACAAATTTCATTCAATGATCCAACTGAAAAATATATAATTTTACAAATTAAGATTCAATTATTATTCAAAAAGCATCTCCTGAACAACTCTACAGAAGCATACCATACTGTTTAAACTGTATTTTAATTAACTAGAAAATAAGTTGAATATCAAGGTATACTATGAACTAACTGAACATAAAAACTTTATTAAATAAAAAAAGTACATAATTGTCAAAAAGACTACATGAATTGAAGATGCTACATCTTGATTGAGTTATTATGATTTACAAGGTTAAAAAATATCATACATATATAGAACTAACTTCACCATAATAGGCAGGGAAACTAAACCCTAATTCTAAGGCCATCTCCAATCGAAGGAGGGCCATATGGCTCTCTTTGGCCCTTATGTCGATATTAATCACTACTGTTGGACTTATGGTTCTTATTTATAGTGACAATTATATGTCTCATGATCGGGGATATTTGAGATTTTTTGCTTATATGAGTTTTTCCAATACTTCAATGTTGGGATTAGTTACTAGTTCTAATATAGCCCTCCAAGAAATTAATATTTTAATGAACAGTGCCAACCCATATTTCTTAACATCTTCAATTGAGGGGCCAGAGGACCATAGGCCAAACATAGCCCTATGACAAAGAATTATCTCTAACCGAGGGGTCAAATGGCTATAGGGCCAAACATAATTTATTATTTTAATTGAATTAATATGGTTACTTAAATTAAACTACCTCAATAATTAAACTACCTCGATAAGGAATCTCAATAATTTTGCATCTCGGATTTCGGGTGCCACATGTCGATATCTTGGTGACTTTGCAGATTTTTTGTCGATAAGGAATCTCAATAATTTCGCGTCTCGGATTTCGAGTGCCACGTGTCGATATCTGAGTGACTTTGCAGATTTCTTGTCAAAAAGGAATCTCAATAATTTTACGTCTCTGATTTTGAGTGCCACGTGTTGATATCTGAGTGACTTTGCAGATTTCTTATCGATAAGGAATCTCAATAATTTTACGTCTCAGTTTTCGAGTGTCACGTGTCGAGATGTAATTAGTTGTAAGGATTTTAGATAGGATTTTTATCTGTGTGACACTTATTATCTTTAGCTTCCAATGTCCATAAATAGGGTGAATATTGGGTTATAATTCACATACCTTCAGATGAGTACATGATACGCTATAGGATGATACGTTTCCGTGCCACAAACAAGTACCTACAACAGGATCTTGTTGCACAGCTTTTGGCCAAAAGAAGCATGGAGTAGGCGTTTAAATTTTATGTTGTTAAATGTTTTAAAAAATGTTGTTTAAGTTTCATGTTGTTAAATGTTTATTTTTATTTTTATGTTGTATAATTTTTATGTTGTTTAATGTTACTTAATATTATTTAATGTTGTTTAATATTGTTTAATGTTGTTTAATGGTTATAGGAAACAAAAAAATTGTAAAAAAAAAAAAAATCAAATATAACGACGGCCGTTGCATTCAAAATATGGTCCAGCCTGGGGCTAGCTGGTTGGCCCTTTTCTCTATTTTTTTGGCTTGGTTGGGCCCATGAGCCCTTTGCCCTAGCCCTCGGTTGGAGACGATTTTTGTGTCATTTCAGGCTATTTTCGACTCTCTGGCCCTCTGGCCGGATTGGTTGAAGGTGGTTTAACTTATTAGGCCCGAAATATTAAACTAACAAGAAAATTCAAATAATTAAATAAATAGCTAATATTATCCAACAAAAAATACTTTAACTCATTCTCACTAACAATGAAAATATGACTATGTTTGAGACTTATTTTGGCAAAGGTTAAGAATGCTTTCTTACAATTAAAAGCATTGCGAAAGCACTTCACAAAAAAAGTTAATTTATTTTAAACTGTTAGATTTTTATTTAACAACTTAAAAATTAAAAAGTTGTTCGAAACATAATATAATTCAGAAAATGATTTTCACACATCATTTTTAGATTCTTACACATTTCTATTTAATTGTGGCATTCAATTTCATTTGATTTGTTCAATCTAATGGTCATAATTAAAAAAAAAAAATGTGTTTTTTAAGGAAAAAATATGTTATTCATTTTTAAATGTGTTAGAAGTTAAAAATAATGTGTGAAAATAATTCTCCAATAATTTTTGTCCTAACGAAAAAATTCAGGGCAAAACTTGGTATTTTTCTTTTCCCCGCGAAAAAATAAGGAAGTTACCGAGATGCTGCCTGTACACTGTAATAAGTCGACTCAGGTCCACTCAGCGATCCTCGTCCCTCTCAAACATTTAAAAACCCCAGAGACCCTGTCCAACTGATACATCCCCCATACAACTCTGCCGCCAAATCACTCTCCCTCCACCGCTTCAACCGCCTCCCCCTTCATCTCCCCCAATCCCAATGCCCACAAACTGACCTCCTCCCTCAATTACTCAACCCCCTCCCAGTTCACCGCGGCATTCCATCAAACACCTCGCCAGCAATCACCAATGGCGTCTCTCTCCCGGCGAGCCTCCTTCGGCAGCTCGCCCCAACCAACCGCCGGATCTTCCACTCCGGATCTGAAGCACCGCGTCATCACCTGCCTCAACAAGCTCGCCGACCGCGACACTCTCGCCATGGCCTCCGCCGAGCTCGACTCCATTGCCCGAACCCTCGCCCCCGGCTTCTTCGCTACCTTCCTCATCTGCATTCACAACACCGACTCTTCCACCAAGCCGCCCGTCCGCAAGCAATGCGTTTCTCTCCTCACCCTGCTGTCGAACTCCCACGGCGACGCCCTCGCTCCGTTTTTGTCCAAAATGATCTCCACCGTCGTCCGCCGTCTCCGCGACCCCGACTCCGTCGTCCGGTCCGCTTGCGTGGAGGCAGTTTCCGCCATGTCGTCCAAGATCACGACGCCGGCGTTTTCGTCGTCATTCTTAAAGCCATTGATGGACACTCTGGCGACGGAGCAAGACTTGAATTCTCAGATCGGCTCGGCGCTGTGTCTGGCCGCCGCGATCGATTCTGCGCCTGACCCGGACCCGGTTCAGCTGAAGCGGAGCCTGCAGCGGCTCTCGAAGCTGGCGAAGAGCGAGAGCTTCAAGGCCAAGGCGGCGCTACTGGTGCTTGTTGGGAGCATTATCGGGGCTGGTGGCGCGTCGAGCCAAAGCGCGTTGGACTGGCTTGTGCCGTGCGTGATTGAGTTTTTGAGCAGCGAGGACTGGACAACGAGGAAGGCCGCGGCCGAGGCGCTTGGGAAGGTGGCTACGGTGGAGACAGATTTGGCACCGATTTATAAAGCTTTGTGCTTGAATGCCTTGGAAAGTCGGAGATTTGATAAGGTATATTGCCTTCCCTACCTCCCAAATCGGTTGTTTGGTTGCTGAGAAAGGGTAGGGAAGAGGAAAAGTACCTGTGATTTCAATCATATCAGTTATTTTCTTTTCTTTTTCTTAATAATTTTTTGTTAGAATTTTACTAATTCGTTCTTTAACAGGTGAAGTTAGTCCGGGAAACTATGAACGAGACATTGGAGGTGTGGAAGGTTCTTCTTGCCAGCGATTCCGAAGAGATTCCTGCTCCAATTCAATCCAGATCTTCAACTGGTAAAGGCCTTTTCTTTGTTTCCGAAACACAAATTGTAGCAATAAATGCCTGCAAGTTCTTTACTTGTTCAATTATTTGATCAAACAGTTTTAGAGATTTATGACATGAATCCGAATTCGAAAGCTATTTTTTGAACTATGAAATTGTTGTTACTATGGTGTTAATTTGTCCAGTTTGAGTAAGCTCTGTTGTGGTCTTTATTCTGCAATATATAATCTTTAAAGTTAAAACAACTTTGGGACCCATCTAATGTCATTTAGTCTTCTGTTTTCTGTTGGATTTTCTCTTTCCGATGGGACCAGATAATGGGATTGGTCGATGCTCTCCTCCCTCATCGAAAAGTTCCGATGATGCCGGTTGTTGTAGGATTCCTCAACCAAAGAAAACAGTCCCCACAAACAGGTCCCCTCCCTCAGATGCTTCTTTGGTGACCACAGCTAAAAAGGGAAGTCCTTTAACTAGAAACGATAGAAAACCAGACACTGCCGTGTTCTCGAAGCAGGAGCACAAGAAACCCACTGATTGGAAAATTGAACTTGCTACGCCAAACTCTCTCTCTTCAAAGGTGACCCATAAGGATGATATTGTTAGGAGTGACCCTAGAGATCTGGAATCAGGAAAGAATGACCACATTGGAATGGCGTGCTAGAAACTAACAGCTTACTCTTTACTAAGAATCCTGTTGAAAAAGCATACAGATTTGGTGGTTTAAAATCTGGGTCACGTGTTGTTCCAGTTTAATGATCATGAAAACTATGACTCAGATGTTGAAGTCAGCAATGATGCAGAAGAAGTTTATGAGAACCAAAAGGATGCTGAGGATCTCAGTTTGATCCGCGAACAACTTATTCAGATTGAAAACCAGCAGTCCAGTTTATTAAACCTACTGCAGGTATGTTCCTGTACTTGTTCACCTTTTCTCTCATAATTGGAAATGTTAATTGCACCACAACGAGAGGTGTTACTTTATTATCGTCTTCTTTTTAACTTTTATCTTTCGGGTGGTAGTATTATTGTTAATCGAAGTTACTCTGCCTTACTTTTCATGAGGCTCTTACTGCCGCATTGTTGCCTGGTCTCTTCATACTTAAAATTTGATAATGAGGAATGAGATAATGCAGGCATTGTTATTTAGTCTTGCCATTTTAAGTTTTTAGATGAAGTGTAGTTTCACGATTTATCTCCTCGTCTCTGCTTACTGACTTTGTTAGTCAGTTTTTGTATTTTCAAAGTTTCATTCTTAAAATTCGTATCCTGTTCCGAACTTAAAGGCTTCAGGCCAATATTAAATTATTCATAGTGATGCACAATGTTAAAGAAGCTTCTGGTCTGCTACTTAATCCCCTTTTCTACGTGTCTACAGAGATTTATTGGGAGCTCTCAGAGTGGGTTGAATGCTCTGGAGTCACGTGTGCACGGCCTTGAGATGGCTCTAGATGAAATATCATACGATTTGGCAATATCAAGTGGAAGGATCCCAAACTCGGAATCTGCAGAAAACACCTGCTGCAAGCTGCCGGGTGCAGAATTCTTGAGTTCCAAGTTCTGGCGTAGAACAGATGGGAGGTATTCTACTTCAAGTCTCACTTCTGGAACCATTCCCTCACTTAATGCTATGCCTAACATAGCTATTAAAAATACAAGTGCTGAATCATGTACTTTTGACCGCGAAAGGTTTCAGCACCAAAGTAGAGGTGCATCTACCGGTCACTCGGTGGCAAAAATGCAAGATGCTGAGAGGGTTCAGGCTTGCAATGCTAGTCGGTATGATGGGGTTTCGCCAGCTACTTTTACATCATCAAGGAACCTGAACAAAAGGTAAGGATAACTAATTTTAGCACTTTATCTTTTACTTCTAGTTGTTTCATCATATTTTCTTGTCTTCCTGTTTACAGATTGGTAGTTCACTTTTTCATGCATTTATAATTAGCTGGAATTTTGCTCAAAATAATTCTTACGCTGAACTTCATAGTGGATCTTTTGCAACACTTTCACGAGTATATCTTTCTACTGAAAATGTACTTTTCCCACAAATTTGTGAAAACGTTCTTTAATCATCTCCGGTGGGCCATTGGCTATAGAAATCTATGAAGCAGATTATCTGTTTAGCTTTCAGTTTTACTGCTTTGGTAACTTTAAACTGGTTACCTCTGAAATTAGAACAAATTTCGTCCAAGACATCGCAAAGTTCAATTGTGGGTTACCTCTTCAAGGGAGCCAGATACAAATCCTATACCCTTCCCATGTCCTGCCATTATATACAGCTTATCTGTAAACCAAAATAGGTTCTAAACAACGCAACTTCCCACATCGAAGGAAGTCTAGCATACGTGCTTAAGCGATATTGTGCCTCCCCGCCTATTCCCAATTGGTGTTTGGTTGGACGTTCACATTCCATCAATTACAACATTAACCTAAGTAGTTTGATTCGTTGGAAGTTCGTTTTTTATTTCAAAACATCGGAAGTTATGATTGCTTAAATTTTTCCTTTCTGTTTTTGACCGTAATCATTCTTCTCCCTCTAGCATAATTTTGTAATGTGCACTTTATCCTCAAACAAGCAATTTCTAAATCAACTCTTTCTTCTTGTTTCTCAGACCATCTGCTTATTAGATAGAACGGAAATGGAAATTGTTGGATGGATCGATTTTGGCCGAGATACAGGCACCATACTGTGCGTCATCGAAGTACCGGAACACATTCAATTGAATGCCGAGGCCGATCAAGTCAGATACGTAGGTGCGCATACTTTATTAGATTTATAAATCAATGTAGCATTTGATGCACAGGGAGCATAGGGCTCTCGTTCTACATGATAGTACGTTACCCTCCCTCCAAAAGGCAGCTTTCAGATTTAAATGCAATACCCAGAGTAGCCTTTTGTAGCATGTGTTCTTATTTATTACTAGCCTGCACCATTGCCGGTAAGGGAAGGAAGCTAATCTGTACAGAACTACAGATCCAAGTTTGCTCATCTTTTCTTGGATTGCTGTTACTTGCTGTAAATGCTCAATAAGTTTTATTGTCGCTATAAATATACAAGCGATTTAAAAATCTCCGCCTAGGTGTTTACCAAGGCATTTGTAGTCAGGCCACCTAGGTGGCATTAGTCAGACCACCTAGGTGGCATTTGTAGTCAGGCCACCTAGCACCTAGGTGGCCTGACTACAAATGCCTTGGTAAATTTTTGTCTGGTTCCAAACCTATTAGAACAAGAGAACGTGGGCTGCAAAATTGAAGCATGCCATCTCACTCAAAAACAGTAAGGTCACATGGTGTGTGCAAAATCAAGCCGTAGTACAGCTAGATTTAGCTTCAAGCAGTCCAAGTTCCATCCACATTAATACTTTAAATCTAATTTCCCACATCATTTCACCACCACATCAACAACCAAGCCTTATCCTACTAAGAGTGGAGTTGGTTTTATAAATCTTAGAACGTCACTATGCTCAGTTTTGTGCAAACACTTCCATTTCATCACTAAGCAAGAAAATATTAATCTGTATGAAAATTAAAAAGCACGTGCATGATTTAAACAAATAAAGCTCGTAAGAGATTAAACAATCCTCTCGCGTTTAGGAATGGCCCAAACAGGCACTGGAGCAACAGACGAAACTAAACGGGAGCATGTAGCGGGAGAAAAAAAAGGTGTGTGATAGTGCTGAAGTCTTCTCTCACAAAAATACAAGACCATGTTGTATTGTAGTTCCACTTGATTTCACGCTAACCTACTTGTCGTGAGAGTTACTCTAATCAAATAGTACTATCGAAAGTTCTCCCTAATCTCGGGGTATAACGAAAAAATGATATGTTTTGTTATATGCTGCGGTCACCAAATGTTTGAGTGCATCTAGAAACTTCTTTTATCTCCACGTCGGTCTGAAAATGACCTAATTCTCTGGGGACCAAAAAATTTGGGCTGTGCAGAAGGGAGGATAGAAAATTGGGCCTTTTCTACCATTTTTGGTGCTGGACAAACAATTCACTTGTCCGACTTATAAGAAAAGTAATGTTACATTTGTCACATTTTTCATAATACATTTGTACCATATTTTTAATAAAGGTATTGCATCAACACATGTGGATTCCATCTTTATTATAAAATAGTGCAATGCGGTGTAAAAAATGTGACAAGTATCATCTTGTATAAAAAAATTATAAATATTCTAATATTTTCATAACATGCACGAAGTCACGGCAGTGGACCCAGTTTTAAATATACAATTCGAATAATTAAAACTTGAACTGGATTTTTATAGAGGACCAATACCTAATTTCATACACTTTTTGCATTTTATTTTATTAATGATTGAGCAAGACTTGTTCTTGGTGTGGCTAGATAATTAATAATATACCCCCAAAAAACGCCTAATGGTGTTCATTTACAGTCTTAATAATACGAAAACGACTCAAAATTTTCCGTCGTTTTCTAAACTGTTCAAACCTGTCAAGTGTCAACCACCGAAAAACATTTTCCTAACCTTTTAAAAATTAATAAAAAAAAATTGACCGGATTATATATCCTTACTACTGTTTTTTCCTGCATTAAATTAAATATTTAGAGTAGCTAAATGCTAATCATAATTTGACAGAAAAGTTGGATAAATTCCTTGAATTGTCATAAATTCCCTTGAATTATCCTAAATTCATTTCAGTCATCCTTTTCACGAATGGTTTTATTCGTTGGCTTATCTAATTATTATGTTGAATTAGACCACAAATCCATCAAAATCAACACTTAAACTCGATTGACCATAAATTAATAGAAAACTAATGAAAAATGTTTGAAAACTTTGAGTTTTAACGATAAGGACGAAATAAATGATAAAGTGAATAGTACCATGATTGACTTTTTAGTGTAAAAATGTGGTTTTTCGTTAAAGTAAACAGTATCATGAACTTTTTGTTAAAGTTGCCTAAACTTATTGCATAAATTCAATATGAAAGTCTTCATTTTAGAATCTTTTATGTGCGTTGGAAAGCTAACCACTCTTAAGTGATGGTGATGCTCACTATATTTTCACTGATCACTCTCAAGTGATGATGATGCTCACCACTCAATTTATCATTGTTAGATGGGTTTAAACTTCGAGAAATATATAGTGGATAAACACAAATCTCAAAATTTACACTTATTCAATTGAATAAATCACCCTTTTCACCACCTATTTATCACACTTTTCTTTTTACGAACCTTTAAGAGATGAAAATTAACAAGACTGTGCACAAAAAAAAAAAAAAAAAAAAGTCATGGATTTCATTTCTCAAATTTTCTACAATACGGTTAACTCTCTTTTTTTTTTTTTTTAAGTGCGGACATGTCGTTGATGCTATTGATATAATTGAAACTTTGACCTTACTGCTATTAACTTGCGGTCAATATATCACTAATAAATTTGACTTTAAATGTGCAATTACCGTGATGTAAAAGAACCGGCCAAGTTATCTCACAGGCCATTTGATGCATTTACTATTTTACTTTGGGTTTTTTTATCAAAAATAATCTATGAGATTATCATAACTTCTCATTTTGGTATCTGATAATGAAAATCAATATATGCAATCGCTAAATTTTGTCCACTGTAAATCATTTTGCTCATTTTGTACAAAATTTGTCAATACCTCATTAACTTGTCACGTGAACGATTACATGACCACCTTTATTAGGGGATTTTTGTCAAACAAACTCCTCCACTTAACGAGAATATTGACAAATTTTTCTGGAAATACCACAATCATTTACAATAGACAAATTCATGAATAACTTCTATCAATTTTCATTAAGAAAGATCAAAATAAAAAGTTACGCGGATCTCAATGAAATATTTGTGGAAAAAAGCTTTTACTTTGTAGAGAATATATGTTTCCTAGGGTGCAAGAAATGAATCAAATGACAGTGAGAATGGTGGTTCGAATTATCGTGGGAAGCACATGGAATTATGCAGTAGCTTACACGGTTTTGTTACGAGTCCTAAGTCCTAACCTTTTGCCAGCTAAGCCTCCCTCCCTATTGAGTCTTGACCAAACTAAAAAAAAATAAATAAAAAGGATAAAAAAAGAAAAAGAATACATGTTCTTTTGGAACGAAGGTCGACCGGCTCCTTAGGCAACGCATAGACCACCTAAAGTCAATGTGTATCAAACATTTTGCTGCTACAATTGTTTGTAAGTCTCACGAGATAAGAAACATATTTGAGGTTTATGTTATTAGTCCTCTTGACATGCGCTTACGTTACGGTTAGTAGGTTTTTATCAAAATAATTAAGGAGGGCTAGAAAATTGAGCTATGCTTATATGAGTATGTCCCATATAGGCAGAGTGAAGCGAGCGGAAATAACTGGTTAATGATTGAATTTTTTTTTTTTTTTTTTGTTGCGGATAATTCTCTTTGTATTATTTTAGATTTGCGTTTAGATTCGTTACAGATGTGATATTGAAATTGTTCGATAGAAAAAATAGACATATATTCAGCCTTATGCTTGTTCATTATGTCTATGTCGATATAATTGGATAAAATCAGTGGTGGATGCATGAATTTCTTTTCTTCTTCAGATTTCGAACTCTATTTCTATTTTATAACTTTGAACATTTAATATTGGACCTCCCAAAATTTAAATCATGAATCCACCAATGAAGAGAAAACAACTAAACCCTAAATAAAGCTTGCTTTGTTAAAAGCCAAATAACAATCATAGAATCCTCGCTCAGTACTACGGTATGTTGGTATTCCTCTTTATCTATAAGCGAGAGGTCTTAGGTTTGAATCTCGTGGATGACGAATTCGATACGAAATTAGGTTGCCCATTGTGTGGTTTAGCCGAATTCCTCATTCTCTTAACGTAAACTATATCATTGTAGTAAAAAAAAAAAAAAAAAAACACAATCATACAATAATCATAAATCCATCATGGATGAGCATAACCGAATCACCTTCCAATCCAAATAAACTGAGTCTTTTGAGTAAATGATTCATACCGTTGAAATTTGATCAAATGGCTACAAACAGGGAAGCCCTCTAAAAGTTATAATAATTATAGTTGTTGGATCAAATTTTAACGGTTCAAAGAATCCGGTTTCGGGAAGAGTCAATAAATCCTTGAGCAAAGGAATAAATGGGTCAGTGACAAGTGGACGACATTTATGGTTGTCAAATTTTCCAAAATAAAGTTTACGGTTGTCACTTGTCACCATAAAGAATAATGATAAAGAAAAAACAAAGATTGTGACGAATGCCATATTATTTTATTTTTGCACACTATTACTAATGACATAATCGAACGATAAAATATGGAGCTCGAAGTTGTAGCAAAAGCCTTCACCTGGTTAGAGTAAAATTTAAGTCACACAATATTTACAATATATATATATTTAGATGGTTATTGGCCATCTTAAAGCGAGACTTTCAATGAACTATTCGGCACAATATTTTATAATATTGATACGAAAATTATCTTATAAACATGAGATGACGAATAATAAAATACATATATGATTAGTTTCAATTGAGTAAAATATTTTTTATTGGGTAACGATTTTTGTACTTGAGTTTATTCTTGAGAAAAATCAAATAGAAAAAATTCAAGTTGTTGAAACAAACGGTAAAAAGTATCGCTAACATTTCTCTTCGTATTAATATAAAATCAACATTTTCTTCTTTTGATGAGCAGTTCTCGTCAATGAAATTTAAACTCAAAATCTTCTGTAAGAAAAACGAAAGTGAGTGCTACCAAAGGAGTGGCCTAACTTATACGTATGTCCGACATGGTCAATCATCATCTCACTGTTCATGCGGAGATGGAGAGCAGTAAACAAGTAACAAAAAAAAGATGAATGAAATGTGTAGTTTCTGAGCAACCTTCTTGTATGCCTGTCTTCTACCTCACGCCATATAATTACAAATTACAATATAATATTCATATTCACCTCCCCCAAAAGCGTCCACCTCAAATCTCAATTATTTCGGTCTTCTTCCTGCCAAAAATCCCTTAACTAATCAACGTAGACAGCTTTAACTAATCACACCTCTTAATCCCCCACCTCCTCCACCACCACCCGTCTTTCCCATTCCACACCTCATCCAGTGTCCACCACCACCACCAGCCTCCCTCCCTCTCTCTCTCTCTCTCTCTCTCAAACCCCTGAAAGTCTGCAAAACCCACTAATTATTCTCCAACTTTTTTGGGCTTTTTCTCAGTTTCCACTTTTGGCAACTATGGAGTTGCCAGAGCAGCGCCGCAAGCGGAAGCGCATGGTGCGGTCCTACTTACAGGCGAAGCAGTATTTGTCTCTGAGGCGACCCATCTTTCTCTGCTTCTCGTTCTTTATCTTCTTTCTGTTCGTATTATCCGACCGCTTCCGCCCGGCGTCGTTTCGGCCAGTCCTTAACGCCTCCTCCACCACCCTCTCCCTCCTCTCCTCCACCGCCAGCAACTCGATACTCGAGTCCTTCGCTGCCCACGGCAACGAATCGCAGCCGTCGTTTCGAGTCCAAGATCGAATCTTGTTTCCCGATCACGTGCTTTTCATTGCGCCCAATCGGTTCGGCCAAGACGAGGAGTTGGAGTGCGTTTACCACAAGCAGTTCAACAGTTCGGGTGACGACATTCTTGAAGTTAAAGAAAAGAATAAGCACCTGGATTTTGCTGTTCGACCGGTTTTGTCCACCGACGACTACGATGAGTTCCGGTCCATCGTCCGGTGTCCGCTGCCGCCGCTCAGTTTCTCCACAGCCATTGATTTGCGACGACGCGGCAGTTACTACTCGACGGCTGGGACTAACGGCACGGCTTCTCCATGGAACAAGGTGGTTTACGAGGCGGTTATTGACGGAGACACGGCGGTTGTGTTCGTTAAGGGGCTGATACTCCGACCTCACAAGATAACGGATCCGACCTGGCTAAGATGTTATTTCGAGTTGGGGATTTTGGACAGAGACGAAAACCACAGCGTCTCTGTGCTTTCCACCGAAGCCGTCACCGCCGCTCAAGAAGTCGTCCGGTGCCTCCTCCCCCGGACTATCCGTAACAACCCCCACGGAATCCGAGTCACAATCGGGTACAACACCAGCCACCCCAGGGCTCCAGTCCACGTCATTCTGCCTTCCGTGGCCACAATTCACAGTTCCAAATCCAATCCAGTGCAATCCAATCCGAAGAAGCACGAGCTTTGTGTTTGCACAATGCTGTGGAACCAAGCACCGGCGATTAGGGAGTGGATTATGTACCACTCATGGCTCGGCGTCGAGCGGTGGTTCATCTACGACAACAACAGCGACGACGGAATCGAAGACGTCGTTCGGGAGCTCGATTCGCAGAACTACAATGTCAGCAGGCAGAGCTGGCCGTGGATCAAAACCCAAGAAGCAGGCTTTTCCCACTGCGCCTTGAGAGCAAAAGACGAGTGCAATTGGGTCGGGTTCTTTGACGTGGACGAGTTCTTCTACTTCCCGCGCGCCTTCCGCCGCCGCGGAGGAGATTTCAGTGTTCCGGGGGAGAACTCTCTGCGAAAACTGGTTTCGAATTTTTCAAATTCAGCGACCGTTGCTGAAATTAGAACCGATTGCCACAGCTTCGGGCCGTCAGGGCTGAGCTCGCACCCGTCGCAGGGAGTCATGGTGGGGTACACTTGCCGGCTGCAGAGTCCCGAGCGGCACAAGTCGATTGTGCGGACGGAGCTGCTCGACGTAACTCTGCTCAATGCGGTGCACCATTTCAGGCTGAGAGAGGGATACAGGCACGTCAATGTGCCGGAGGGAATCGCGGTGATCAACCACTATAAGTACCAGGTGTGGGAGACTTTCAGGGCCAAGTTTTTTAGGAGGGTGGCGACCTACGTGGTTGACTGGCAGGAGGATCGGAATAAGGGGTCGAAAGATAGGGCGCCGGGGCTGGGGACGGAGGCGGTTGAGCCGTCCGATTGGCGGCTGAGGTTCTGTGAGGTTTGGGACACGGGGCTGAAGGACTTTGTACTGGGGTACTTCGTTGATCCTGTAACTAGGTTGCTGCCATGGGAGAAGAAGTTTCTCACTTCTGCATAGTAAATCACAGAGAGCCGCCATTTTTTTCATTTTTTTTAATCTAATTATTTTTTTTTCTTTACACATGTTCTACACAGAATCGAATTAATTTCAAGAGTCTTACAGTGTAAATTTTGTGACAATATCAAATGAATTTTTTCTTGGCTTGTATACAAATTCATTTTTCTCAATCAAATAAAATGGAGTACGGATATCTTCCTCTCTTCTTTTTGTCATTTTATTATGCGTTTTCATGTGATTTAAATTATTTAAAGGAAAAGAAATTGCAGGTAACATTAAATTCGTAGAGTGATTTAAATTATACAAACTTCATATGTATAAAAAAAACAGGTGCTTGCAGTGCAAGTAAACCCGTCATTCCCTTCTCATAAAGGGTAAAATCACAGCTCATCTCGGGTGATTGAACATTCGTAATAGAGAACTCGAACAAAAGTACATGCATTAATAATGAAACTGTGGTTATTGAGAATTAGAAACGAATCCGAAGAATATCTGAATCCGCAAACGCTTCAGCTTCTTACGCTTTCGTATACAATTTCCCAGCAAGCAGCTCCGAAGAATCCGTTCTAAAAGCACTGTCAATGATAACTGACTGATAATACAAGAAAGAAACAGACTCTGCGTACGTTATATATTTCAGCACAGCAACATTTGTAGATCTGGTATCGCAACAGAATTGGAATGCACGGGAATGTGATCTCGATAATCGTTATCCTTCATCCTCTGTTATGATAAAGCTGTTGCTTGAGGAAACCTAAGAACGAAAATGTAAGCAGTATACAAATATATGAACTACAGCAATGTAGAAAGCCAACACAACACTAGGATTCACAACAACTAATGTATAACAACATGCAATCTGATAATAACAACTTATGTGGAGGTATCGCCGTTGAAGAATCAACGGAAGTAGTCTTCTGCTTCCAACACTCGATAATGCTCCTCTCTAAGTGAATAGGGTTTTAGATGTCGAAAGTGCGTACATATTTATACAACCATACATATAGCTAGAGATTCACTCAGTCCAACCTATTATCAGAAAGAGCGATTATCTTTATGTCTTTAACACGTTTAAATAGGTCAGCTGCAATTTAAAGAGAGATACGTCGCGCGGTTGGGCATGAGTAGTTTGTGCTGAAATTTGATAGATGTACCTCTCACAAACCTTTTTCTTTTGTCAGAAAACCTTTGATACACAACACCTAACCAGCCATGCTCAGATTAGCAAAGTACCGATTTTTTAATCCGCCAATCGCTACAAATAACCTACATTTCCCCCCTCTCTTACTTAACATCAAGGTTTTCGTTTCGGCTCTATAAAAACAGAGTTCCACACTACGACTTGAAAACACATGAACCGCGGACGATGACGAAGAGGGTAAACATTCTCTAGTAACAGATATTTGACCAACATTGCTATGTAACATGTCTTACCACAATAACTCAGATGGTAGAGTCCTAGGGAGATTCGAACACATCTGCTCGCATTCGACACGCATTCGACACCTTCCGGATTCACCTGAAATTAAACCCTAAAAATATTTAGCCCTAAGTCATCTCAAAATATGGGATCAATCAGCTCAACTTCTCACCTTAGATATAGATTTTAGCTAATATTTTGGTCACGGCCAATCTCAAAGTCAATAAATCGGTTCTAGACTGTGAACTACAAATTAAACATAATTAATTAACCACTAATTAAGCTCACTAATAACTGAGAAATGAAGCTTCAAAATTCTGAATATTGCATTGAAGTGGCAGTGGTTGTAATTAAACAGACAGCGATACTCTTTGCGTGCTTACCTGCTGGCGTCGGCGACGAGAGAGATGTCCGAAACGGTGCGGTTAAAGAGGACGGCCAGGAGGTAGGCGGCCCCCGCGTATATCGGCAAGCTCCGAGCGGTGTCGTCGTTGTTGGAATGGAGACCCAATCGGTGACTCAATTTCTCTTGGGCTTTGGGCCTCTATAACGCGTGTCTGAACTCGAAGCCCTAATGTTCTCTTGGGCTTTGGGCCTCCGTAACGCTTGTCTGAACTCGAAGCCCTAATGTTCTATTGGGCTTTGGGCCTCTGTAACGCGTGTCTGAACTCGAAGCCCTAATGGTGCGCGGGAAAGCAGGTACGAGACGACGTCGGAGAGGGCATTTTGGAGGGAGACAGGTTGTCTGCCATACTTTTTGGGTGTCCTTCTCATCCTTTCCTATTTGTGCGATCACGGTTAAGCTACGTCAATATTTTATATTCCTATTGCTTTTTATCTTATTATCTTTATAAAAAATCAATATAAAATGTTGATTTGGCTTAACCGTGATCGCACAAAATATAAGGGGATGTGAAGGGCACCTAAACAAGAGGGCATACAATCTACCTCCTTTTGGAGTCCATGGATTGGACTGCGGAGCAAGGTTCCCACTTCCATCGATATCTGTGGGGTAGGTGACGTGGCTTGATATTTGATATTTTTGAAATTGAATCCCATCCGGATCCATTTTGTGGGGATCTTACATCTTAATTATTTATCGTATATTGTGCGATCAGAAATCATTTGAATATAAATAGTATCTGACGAAAACTAGCCGCACAATATACGATGAACGACTAAAATATAAGATGCTTAAGATCTCCACAAAGCAAATTCGGAGAAGATCCTCTTCCGATATTTTTGCCTTTGATTGGAAACGGCCTGTCGTTTAGTTGACTTCATTTCCATGCTCCCTTGTGGTTTGGAACTTTGGACATCGAGGAGATTTATGACTTATGCTGACTAGGACTTGAAAATTTGGAATATAACAATTAACAACTTTTACTTAACAACTTTTTTGGACTTGGACTTTAACTAAACCAGACTAACATTTTTGGGCTCGGACTAGGCCCATAGTTGACCCCATTTTCTTTGTCAAAGGATTGAATTGGAAATAAAAACCCTCTAAATTCAAGTCAGACTTCTTCTTTTTTGGGTCGAAGAATACCGTTTTGGAGAACATTAGAATGAATAAATTTTCTTCTTGAATAATCATTTTCCTGCCTCTCGGTCACAATATTTTAATGTCTTCTTTCAACATATCTTCAGTCTCTTATCCATGCCAAAATCCAAACTTATATATCACTAAAGGAGGCCATTAGTTGTAGCCATTTTACCCGACTAAGTGAGATATTACCTCTTGAGAAAAAGTTACAATATATTTCATATTTCATAATTATTTTTAGCTTTCCTTTTTCATGTTTGTGATATAGGAAAGTTGAAGACAGTACAAGCTGAAGAAGGGCAGTAAGAAGGAGAGGAAGAAAAAAAAAAAAATTGAATAATTACAAAACACTGAAAAAAAAAAAACCAACTTTTTAATAGTGTTTTTTCTCCTTTTAGATTTTTAGAGTTCGTTTTGTAATGCATTTCTTCTACATCTCTACTTACTACACTCACCTTCATCCGTTTTTTCTTTCATACACCTTCTTTATATTTCAAACATAAAAATTTAAAATTTAAAACTGAAATAACTATCAAAAACTGCTCTAAATATCATCACTCTTCAAATAAATGCAGCATTGGGTGTAGTGTAGCATACATACTGATGGAGATACATCCCCGTATTAATATATCCTCGTACAGATGTTACAATCAGAACCATAAACTCCCCCTCCAATATGATCCCAATATTAATATATCCTCGTACACATGTTACAATCAGAACCATAAACTCCCCCTCCAATATGATCAACATGTTTATGGTCAAAATTTAATATCTTATAGGTCGGCCCACTTGAATTTGGGGAGATAACTACAAGACAAAAAGGTTGCTCCCGTTGATATATTACTCATTTTAAACATTACGTTATTTTCATAAATCCGCCATCATATTGAAGAAAAAGAGCACGAAACTACGAATATTATTTCACTAATTAAAACGAAAGAAATACTATATGTTATAGATGATTACATAATTCATAGAACTACATTGTCATTGATTTATTAAAACAAAACGATTACAAGCCTTCTATATAAAGAGAAAACAAAAGCGAACTTAATATTAGGGGGCAAAAAAGTTTAATCCTTGGCTATACTAAATAACTAATACTTGCAGGCTGTTCTTGACATCAAGTATCAAACCATGCCCGTCCGTACACTAGTATTCCTGCAACAACGAATCCAATGAAAATGCATGTAATTAATTAACAGTTAATTAAGGAAATTAAACTCTAAATTAGCTTGGTGGTTTTGTATGATTAGGGTTTCCTTATCGTTAAGAAACAAGGGTAGACAAGTCAACATCAAACTCAAGGTATTAAATTTGTGTGCCACACTGCCCCGTTGCCATTGGATTTGTGGAGCTTTCTGTAATTTGCTATGGATATTTGCGATACTAATTCATCTTTCGTTGATCATGCTCATGTATTCAAAATTTTAAATATCAATTCTAATGGAAATATCTATATTGATTGTCCAGTTCACGGATACATGGAGCAATATTTTGGTATCAAAGTATGTTTTGAGAAGATATTGTCAACATAAATTAGATACGTGATAAGAAAATTAAGTGATATAAATTTTCACACGTGTAAAGATGATTGAACAAAAATCATCACCCGCCCATAAACAACTGATTATAACATATCTTTGAATTTATTCTTTAACTATCAATCAGAAATCCTCACACATAAAAAACTGAACGACCTAAATTTTCACACGTTCATAAGCGATCAAGAAGAGGATATGGTCTAGTTTAACCTTCACTTTCAATTAAATTACCTGGGAAAACAAGTTAAAAAGAAATAAAAATAAAAAAAGATGTGTTGACCGATGATCCAAATCCAACGTTAGGTTGGAGACATCGATCACTGTGGTTGATCCAGGGTGGCTCTAGAAAAACATTTTAACCGATGCTATTGTTAACCAATCTCAAGACATGTCGTCCTATCGAAAGATGATACCAAACACCAATCAATTGGTAGAATGACCAATCCAAGTCAGAAAACTTATCCCAACGTGGATATGAGATGAACCTGTCTTTGCTTGATAATGACCATTGCTTCCCTACAGGCTGCACCAGTACAATTATATGCCTCGCTTGTTTAGTTATTTTATCAGTATCCAATTTTAGTCTCACACTTGGTACTATAATTCAAAGGTGTTCTTCTACATTTGGTATGACGGTTGAAATTAAGAAGCGTATATAAAAAATAAAAAATAAGCATGTAGATAGCATTACCCTTGTTAAGTTAAGTTCTCTTAAGAGCAATTATTATTAGCTAGTTGATTTTGATTTAGGAGAGTTCAAATCTTCTACACCTATTTTGTGTGTGGCCACCTCTATTATTGATGGACATGTATTAAGTTTATGACAGCAGAGTAAGAAGAGTTAATTTTAAAAACATGTGTTAATCAATATCAAAGACACGAAATTGCCACACACAAAATTAGAGGTTTTCATATGTTTCTAAATGTTGGAATATCCAATGTTACTGCTCAATGCTACCTATTTTAATTCTATCATGTGATCTGAGTGAGAACACGGTCTTTCATCGTGTGAACAGAATTATTTTATGTTTACGTAGTGGAGTCAACAGATTGGATGGTAGGAGATTTCCTTAAATAATATATTCATAATTCTTTATCTTCTTTCTTTTGCTTTTTCAATTAATTTGGTTTCAATATTTTAAGAGCTTTCTTCTAATTAAATTTGTTTAAATGTTTGTGCAATACGGCAGAAAAGCTTGATTATGTTGTGAATAATATGTGGATGACCCACATGAATAGTTTGTTATTATTTATGCACAGTATTTTCACTATTCATTTGTGGAAAAATTGTAAAATGAATAGTATTCTCTTTGCTTATAAAACGAATGAGGAGATAGAAGTCACAAGGCTCACAAAAGAGGAAGAGAGAAAAGAGAGGAAGAGGAGAGGGGATAATAGAGAGAGAGTTATTTTGTACTCTTATTATTCTAAATTATAATGAAAGCATCACTGCTGCTCCGAGATGTACTCCATTCACATTGACTGTAGAGAACCTTGTAAATTTTGTGTCTTGTTTCTTTTATTCCACTGTACACACCATCGATTTTACAACAGATTATATATATTATATAGCAGTCAAGTTCGTGTTTCTATTCATATTATAAATTACTTAAAAATAAATTTTAACGCAACTATTTTATACAAATATAATTTGCATGTTTTTAGTGACGACCTAGGGTTCAATTGATCAACCCAGTTTAGTTGTTAGTATGGAGAAACCGAATAACTAAAGACAAGGCTAAGAACAAAAGTCGCAATATGTAATTAACAGTTGAAGGAACTGGGTGTCGAAGAAAAAGAAAGTCACACTTGTAGCCGCCGGCCCGCCGGTACTACGCTTGACAACGCACACATTGATTCACTGCATGTGACTACAGACAAATTGCCGAAGAAAACAAGATGTAGACAGAACAGAGAACACACCTAATTAGAAAATTAGACGTAGATAAAAAGATGAAACGAATCAAATGCTTTGAAAGCAACGTAACAAATTAGGAACACGTGCTTCCAAAGAGACAGCACATCAATAGAATGACATGGCCTATGGCCTCTTCTGCTTTAAACAAAGCCCATTCACCTCACACTCACAATCTCCCATGATTTGGAGAAATTTCGTGTTTGTCGCATTGACCAGTGATATTATTAATCCGCATGACTGAAATAATTGATATGTAATTAAGTTAAGTTATGATATTAATGAACATATTGATGTATGGAAGTTTAGTAATATCACATGAAAGTATTACAATATAAGCAGATTGAAAAACTTGAGAAAATTGAAGAAATGGTTTCTCAATTTTAATCCAATTGAACCAATGGTCCCTTAATTAAAAATTCACGACCATTGCTCACTTAACTCATCAAAACGTGTAGCTATGGTCATTTTCATCAACTCCTGTCAAAATGAGTTATGTTGGAAGGATCATTTATACGATTGGGTTAACGTTGAGGAACTATTACTTCAATTGAATTAAAGTTGAAAGACCGTTTCTTCAATTGAGTTAGAGTTGAGGGACTATTGCTACTATTTTTTTCATTTGGTCTTTCATATTTGCCTTCTTAATTTAGCCTCACGTGTGTAGCATGTGACTTATTTTGACAAAAATTCTAACGTAGTTGACGAAAAAGACCATAATTGCATGTTTTGATGAGTTAAGAGACCAAATGTCATGGATTTTTAGTTGAGGGACCAATGGCCAGAAAGTTTTAATTGAGGAATTATTATTTCATTGAGTTAAAGTTGAGGGATCACTGCTACAATTTTCTTGAAAAATGTTTCCATGTTGTGCATGCTATTACTTACGTGGTCTGACATGGTTGGGTATGAGAGCTTACGGTGGACAAATCTTTTGTATACGTTACGGGTCTCACTCACCAATAGAAAAGCAGGAGAAAACGAAAATAAAAAGAGGGAGAAAGTGATGGTAAAAGAAATAAAAAAGAAAAGCAAAAGTGCATCCATCCACCACCACCAAGGGGTGGTGGAGAGCCACATACAAAGGTTGAGGTTAAAGATGGAAGTTTTGTAGTGAAAGGTGATGGATGGGGTCCAGGCCTTACTTATCATCCACAACCACATCCCATCCCACCACCAATATCCACCACCATGGTTGATATCTAATGGACGATCTGAATAACGTGAAGGCATTGAGACAACGACGTCTTTCTCAAAGAGCCATCGAATATGCCCAGTCGACGGTGCAGAAATCACTTTGGCCCTCCACCATCGCTTTTTTCCATATATTATATGTTTTTTTTTTAGAGAACTACTATTAACATTTCAAAATTTTCATTTTACACTCCTCACAAGTGTATTTTTCTTTCTAATTATAGAAAGTTTGGAGTGCTAAATGAGATTTTTGGAATGCTAATAATAGTTTTTTTTTTTTAAATGTTGAATTATTTTACGCAAATATTTGTCTACAGAGGCCTTAATTAACAATAATACTTGTTGTAGCTAGGATAATATATAAAAACTATAGCTCACAGATTAATTAACCTGTCAACTAAAAAATATATATTAAGAACACACAGGATTTCATTTAAGAACACATAGGATTTCATATTTACACTTAAATGGGATGATATTTTAAGTGGATACAACTTATGAAATTATTTATATAACAGATATAATTTTTCTTATAAAAAATATATAATTTATTTCTGTCTAAAAAAGAAACATAAATCCTATACAGTGCAACATATTATATGACAACAAACTATATATCAACATACTAATAATTAAAATTATTAATATTGTGATTTTTCAATTTAATTTTAAAAATTAAAATAAGTTTCAAGTTGGAACCACTGTTCTTGTTAAAAAAATTAACAATATAAAAAGTGGAGAAAAAACATAAGTAAGTTAATTAGCTAATAATCATTAGTGTCCAATCTCAAAGGGCAATATGCACGAAACGAAATAAATAATTTGGCAAAAACCCTACGACCAACCCATCCAAACAAGTAAAGACATCCGCTGCATAACTAACGGTGTAGATACATTTAAATTTTAATCCAACGGATGGTAAACAAGATAAATCTCATCCAGGTTATACTATCCTACTGTGGACATTACTATGACACACAGGCTTAGTTGTATCGACAAGCATCCCCAAACTGAACGACCCTGATTCAAGAATTTTAACAAGTCCGTGGAACCCTAAACATGAACCGTCCGATTTTAATTCCACGGTCCATGTTCGTACACAGAAACCCTAAAAAATACGCAAAACGCAGGGTTATTAATTAGATCTGCAACTATATATGAACCACAGCAGCCCTCATTTTTCTCTTTCATTAGACAAACCAATTCCTGTCTTTTCCCAAGACTATTACCTTTTTCTTCCTTTCTTTCCTTGCATGCCTTGTTGAAATACCACCACCACCTACACCAACAACAACGTGTGAGTCGCGGGAGAAGATCATGTCTCGCACGTGCTCTCAGTGTGGGAACAACGGTCACAACTCCCGCACTTGCACGGATGCCAGCGGAGGAGTCGGTGGTGGCGCGACCGCCTCTGCCGAAAATGGCATCATGCTTTTTGGCGTTAGACTCACGGAGGCAAACGCGTTCAGAAAGAGCGCCAGCATGAACAACTTGTCCCAGTATGAGCAGCCTCTGCAGGCCGACTCAAACGCCGACGCCGGTTACGCTTCTGACGACGTCGTCCACGCCTCTGGACACCGCCGCGAGCGCAAGAGAGGTATGTAGTACGTACTCGTGGACCTATTTTTTTTTTATTTTTAATTTCTTTATTAGAACGAGAAATCAAACTCAGAAATCTCATGTGCAAGCGTCTTGCTGATCTAATCTGGAGTTTAATTATCTTAATTTGTTCATTTATTTGGATTAATTATTTTTTACTTGACTAATTGTTGAATTGGTTGGTTTTTGATATGGGAAGGTGTTGCGTGGACGGAGGAGGAGCACAAGCTGTTCTTGGTGGGCTTACAGAAGGTAGGGAAAGGAGATTGGAGGGGGATTTCTAGGAACTTCGTGAAGACTCGTACGCCGACTCAGGTGGCGAGTCATGCTCAGAAGTACTTTCTCCGGCGCAACAACCATAACCGTCGACGCCGCAGATCTAGTCTTTTCGACATCACCACCGATACCCCTGTATGTGCTATCAATATTTTAATCATAGTTAATTATATATTAATTTCCTTAGTTTTTTTTTTCTTTAATACGAATCGATAACGATATTTCATTAAAAGTTAAATAAAGTTACAGGAAGGGTGCCAGAGTGCATTTTTTCGGTGACCAAATCCTTGATCTGGAGAGAGGAAAGCACAGCAAACAAACATAATAAATCCCTACATAGTCCCCACAAGTAACACAAAACACAAGCACCAGCGGTGCAAATATGTCATAATTAATTGCCCTAATTTTAGTTCATGCCTATTGTTATTTCCATGAGTTTGATTTGTCTTTTGGTGCATTTTTACTCACCGTTCTCAAACAGTGGTAATTTTCATTATCTACTTATCATTATTGAATGAGTTTAAATTTTAAAATTTATATCTATTTATTACACAAATCACTAAATTTAAGGTTCAGATTTATTGTTTGACATTATAGTTAAAATCAACTTGACATTGTAGCAACTTTTCTACGTTTACATATGTCATTGTTAATCATGAGTTATGACCAAACCATTTTACACGGCATTTTCTTGCGCCCAAGTCCGATTACTTTCTTTTTTCGTAGATTCGTATAATCTATACTTTCGTCTTGTAGAAAAAGCCATGGATTATATTAATTGTGTACTTTAAATATGTGCAGTTGAATTCATTGATGGAAGAAGATCTAGGCGAATCCTCACCAACAGTTGTACCAGTATTGCCATTCCCAATCCCAACACAGCCAGAGTCTAATTTGGGTTGCAATATTCTTGGAGGGTTTCCAGTTTCGACTTTTCCGGTTGCTCCTTCTCCAGCAGCCCTGCCGGGTGAAAGCTCACCGACAGAAAGTAAGCTGACATCACCAGGATTAAACATGAAGTCATTAAATGACATGCAGCTGAGCCCGACAAAAGTCGCACAAACAACTACTAAGCTCATCCGTCCGATCCCACTTCACCCTCCGGTCGTCCCTCCTTCTTCTAAAATGGCCGGTCTTAACTTGAACAAGAAGTACTCATCGTCACCCACCAGGGATCCACTGCCATTGTCTCTGAAGCTCTCCACGAATCCGTCCGAGGAGCAATCGCCCACGACGCCGTCGCATTCGTCTGCGTTTCAGGCCATGCCTAGTGGCTCTGACAGTGTCATTAGCGTTGCTTAATTAAATGAATTATTGAACAATTTGATGTCGATATATGTCGTCCGTGTGTGTTATAATAGGGCCGGCAATGTAGAAGTAGCTAGCTAAAGCAGTATGGTGGCAAATGGAAATTAATTATTTGGTGGGCCCGAGATTAGATCGACCAGTGTGATTACTTAGGGGCAAAAGGGTGATTAGCGTTCATGTAGTTAGTTGATTAGGCGATTAATTTGCTTATTTTGTACAGGATGGTTGGGTTTAATTTATATAGATTTAGGACAAGATCGGTTTGAGTCTTCTCGCAGTGGTGGGGATTCTTGTGGTTGATTTTTGTTTGGTACCTATTGGGATGGAATGATAATAGAGAGCACCAGGTGCGCAGTGTTATTTGATCCTCTGGCTGGACCCTTTGCAACTTAAAAATATAGCACCAAATCGACTGATAGATAAAATATAGAAACCATTTTGATTTAAGCCAAAAATAAATAAATGTGTTTTTCGAATCTTAATCTCTACCAAATAACAAAGTGAACGGTACACATATGGTATCATATAGAATTTGTTTGGTTTATTTTTCTTCTTCCTTTTATTTAAAACATACGTCTTGAAATCTTTTTCATGTCCAATCATATAGAATCATATAGAATTGAATCAATGAACTAGTGCGCATAACGAATACTAAAATCAGGGTTCGAATGATGGACGATTTCCTTGCACTTTCTTATGTGATCATAGATCATTGGTATATTAAGTATAATCTCTCAAATCAATCAATTGTAGTAAAAATAGAGTGGGGAGTACAACTCAAAAAACAAACTACAAAACAGCAATGGTCACAAAACGAGTCCAAAAGACTCAAGCATCATTTATGAGAACTGGTCTAATCCAAACATAATACTCATCAAATATTAAAACTTTAAAATCCATATTAAAACTTCAATTAACCAACTAATCGCTAAAATATTCTTCTCTCTGAAAACCATTATTTTTCAAGAAAAGCAGTGTTGTAAATATAGTGTACACTAGCACAAGATTGTGATTCTTATTGCTGATCGATGTGGCAAAACACACACCAATGATATTGAAAGAAAGTTGGTTGCCACCCTATTTTAAAATACAAAATGAGTAAGGAGTTGTTCTCCACCAATCATTAATCTTTTTTTCGTCCAAATAAACAATTCCTTCACTATTTTTTTTTATAGCAAATGATACTATATTAAGGAGAAGGGATAGGCTTAGTCTCACAATGGTTAGCAACAATGTGGTTTAAATTTCTCTTTGGTGAGAATCAAACCTAAGACCTCTCACTTACAAGTGAAGAGAAATACCACTAGACCGTAATGCTAAGTGGCAACAATTCCTTCACCTTGCTACGCAATATGCATTTCATCGTGTGCATATTTTATATGTACGTTGGGTTGATTTTTTATTTTTTAAAAGGGACCAAGTAGCTTTCTCATGACAGTTCACCTTTTAGAGGGTTGGAAAGACCCACAAAGGCATTTCAATCTCCACATGGCTAACATCGTGTGATCACACAGTGCCAAGAATTGAACCCAAAACATGCCTTGTGAAATAAAAGCCTGAAATTTTGCCACTCTAAGAAGTAACTGAATATGTAAATTACAGGTGTGATTTAAAATATATTCATTATAAATAGGCTTATTTTATCAATGCCCCTTAGAACTTTATTTTGATCTCACTATGCCCCTTGTCACTCAAAAGTACCACTTTACTCCCTGAAACTCAAAATTCGTTCTTCATTGACTTGTGGACTCTTTCTTCTCAATGAAACTTATAGGTCGCATATTAAAACATACGTGGGACCTAATACCAAATAAGATCATGCCAGATGTGCAATAAATTTGATTATAAATCTTCATTATGCGTTAACATTCAACAATTGGAGAATATTAAGTTTAAAAGAAATTGAAGAGATGAAAAAAAATAAAAAATAAAATGATTAATCTAGAGCACCCAAATCAAACTCACATAAGAAATTACATCTAAGGCAACGTGGAGTGAATTTTGAGTTTTACAAAGAAACTTTCAAGTTTCAGGGGGCAAAATGAGATCAAATCGAGTTTCAGGAGCAAAGTGAAATGAACTTTGAGTTTCAGGGAATAAAGTGGTGACTTTTGAGTTACATGGAGTAATGAAATTAAAATCTAGTAGGGAGTTTTAACGAAAACTCGTGGTACTGTTCACTTTAATGAAAAACCACATTTTTACACTAAAAAGTTAAACCTTGTACTATTCACTTTACCCTTTATTTTGTCATTATCGTTAAAACTCAAAGTTTTCAAGCCCTTTTCATTAGTTTTCCTTAAAAATAAACCTTATAAATATTGCATGCTACTTGTTAGCTACCTGCAGGATCTCTACAATTTTTACCGATTTTACAGTGTCGCATATTTTTCTGAAACGCACCTTTGAAGTTTTATGAGATGCATCAAGGCCCTTAAATAATTTCACAAATTAAAACAACTTATTGGAATCACATATATATACACACACGCATATATATATATATATATTATATAAACATGAACAAGCTAGATGGAAATATATAACAAATTAATGCAGGAGAACATTAATTACTCTTCCAAGTACTTCACAAATTTAATTATTCCAGGAATTATACCAACAAGCACACATATGCTTAAGAATAGTAGTGCTGCTTGGATATTTTAGGAGCTGGGGCAGGCCGTGCATGTGAAGGACGTTTGGATGATTCTATTCCAGCCGTAGTAGTACTAGGAGTAGGGTTCACTGCTGGTTGATCGCTTTGGTTCTGAATCTTGTCACGCATCCTTTTAATATAAGCTTCAGCTTTCCAATCAACATCGCTGCCTGCTTCGCTCTTACTATTCTTACTCGTGTCCCATGGCTGAGTACTTGTAGTTGTAGTAGCAGCAATAGTAGTACCAGTATTCTGATCTGTGCTTGGTAACTGCATCACGAAGGAGAACGGCTTTGATTCATTTTCTGGTTCCTGCAACCTTTTCGGCGGGCTTCTGGGACTTTGAGGATCAGGGACGTCTACTTTGGTAACTTTAGCAGGCGCTTCTGCTGGGATTTGGCGGAGGCCTGGTCATGGTTGTTGAAGATGGATATTGCCAAGAGAAAGAGATGAAAGTTTAATGACGTTTGCCACCAAAATCATTGACTTTTCACACAGAGATTTGTTCTTGCGACTAGTGGTACTACTACCCTTGTGTTTCATGGCTTCCCGAATTTGACCAAACAAGCAACCAGTGAATTTAGGGTTTCTAGATTGGCTGTGATCAATTTATGAATATATCTCATTGCATTTATAATAAGCTGTACGAAATCTGGAAAGATGAAAATAAAAGAAACAAAAAAGGAAGGAAATTAAGTCAAGTTATTCTGTTCTGTGGGGTTCCTGCAGCTGAAACTAACTGGATGATGAGCAGATTAGTAAGGACTTCACTACTGTGCAAATACTTCAATTTTATTATTTTCTGGCTGGAAAGAAATTCTCACGTGTTTTGTGCTGTAAGGATCTAAAATTCCTTTATTCCTTAAATTTTCTGTGTAATTGTCGTCGTGTAATGAGAACGAGTGGATGGTCAACATTATTTTCCATTTTGAATAGGAAATTGTTATTGTTACTCTAAATTTCTCATTCTACACTCTAAACTTTCTATATTTAGAAAGAAAAATACATTTGTAAGAAGTTTAAAATGAGATTTTTGGAGTGCCAGTAACACTTCCCTTTTAATATACATAGGCAAAACATAGCAAAGAGAACTTGATTCTAACATAATGAGTCCCTTCGAGTTGTCTTGGTTTGTTTTGAGAACATAAAAATTCATCAAGAACCCCAAAAATCAGAACGTGATCTTGATTCTAACATAATGAGTCCCTTCGAGTTGTCTTGACTCTAACATAAAAGTTTTCTCTGATAACCACGTTCTGTCTTTAGAGAAAACTTTAGTTAAGAATAAGATGCGTCTCTTACATATGTTAACTTCAACTGTTTCTGATACAACGTGTTCTAGCCAATGAGTTGTTTAATTATAATTAGGAGTAGATGAATTAATATGCGTTTGGTCTTTGCTCTTGCCATGAACGTCAAGTAATCCAATAAAGAAGCTTTAGGGGCAAGATTCGTCTCCATAGTTTCCCCAAAAAAAAGGATTGGTCTCCAAATGATTATATCCACCTTTTCAAAGTAATTGCTTACCCTAAATTGGTTCCCGTCTCGCCACCACCACCAATACACACATCTTTTTGTTCCATCGAAAAAGAGAGTTTCTCACACGAACCAGCTGCTTCGTCTAGTGTTCACTTCACAATGTTCGAATCTTTAGCCTCTCCTTGGTGTGTTCACATAAGAATCACATTCCATTCCCGAATCCATAACACTATTTTTTTACACTATTTTTTGTTGGCCCACTGTATAAGTATTTCAACAATCTAAATCGTCTATCTTTTAGGTCTTTTTTCAAATATCATGTCTACAAAAAATCATCCAAATCTGAAACCATATTACCACTTGATTAAGGGTTTAGGATTTCATAGTAGAACTCTATTTGTCTATTTTATTCACTACAGATGAATTTTTTAATGGTTTGGATTTATCTAATTTTATGCAAGAATAATCTATGAATGATGTTCTAAAAGAAAGACGATTCAAATAGTTAAAATAAACAACGAAGTGCTCCCGAAAAAAAAAACATGTGTCAAAAATTGTATAAAAAGAGTGGTGTTACATATCTGCCTCATATAATACATATATATATATATATATATATATGCCTTGATTGGATGATCTCAGAGTTCTCTGACGTATGCCCTCCATTCTCTTTCATGATCATCAATTATGGCATCATTTTCTTGGATCTTCTTTTATGCTCCATCCTTTTTCCTTTTTCCTTTCTCCTGAAGCCGAGAGTCGGTGTCCCACCTAATTTTCTGGAGAATTCTCAAAGTTGGATGGAGAAATTTTTTAATGTGACGATTTACACGAACACATATGCTATTAGTTTACGTGTTATTGATGGATCTAAGGTATTAACTATCCATTATGTTTGTGTTATGCAGAGCTTGGGCCTTGTGGTAACCTTTTGTAATTTTTATTGGAATTGGGCTTTTAAGTTTGAGTTGTTGATTTGGGCTCCATCTTGTGGTGACTCATTCAAATCCGATCCTATCTTAATTCAATGAATGTACTGTTAACAAAATGTAAACATTTATTTCTGTAGGAAAATAATTTGGGTAGGGTAGTCTGACCACGTGGTAAAAAACATGACTCTTGTGTGGTAGTTTCCCTAAACAAGCAGTGCTACCCAAAATTCTCGCTTCTTGCATAAAAAAAATTCCAGATTACATATGAAAATAATTGAATTCGAATATTTAAACTATT